AAAAAAAAAAAAAATTGTCCCGTCTTCCTCCCATCAGACCAGTTGGTCGCAGCAGATGGCCCTGCCCCTCCTTGAGGAAGGAAAAAGGAGTTTTTCCTTCCCGCTATTCCCAAAGGGTTTCTCAGGTTTTCTCTGTACTATTGGAGGGTCTTTAACTTTTAATATAAAAGGCCTGTATTTAAAGACATTATATAAATACAACTAAAGTGCAGCCTGCACCTTTGACGTGCAGTCTACAGTCATTTATAGTGACATAAATAAATGTTAAGGTCGTAGCGTTCCTTTCCTCTCCAAGGAGCACGAAGACAAACATGCGATCAGTGGAAGAAGAGTTATCGTTTGGCGCCCTCACCTGGTCGGCTCCGAGGCTTGCAGACCACTCTCCCGGGTTACAACCACTTTACATCTGATCTCATCTCCAGGATTGTCCTTCTTCTTCTCCTCTCCGTTTTCTTCATCTCCCTCCTCCTCCTCTTCATCTTCTTGTTGGAACTGCATTATTCCGAAAACTTCCCCGGCATCATAAATCTACGGAAACAAACATGGCATGAAGGGCCCGCTGTGAGAGTCTTTTTAATGTGTGCACGCCAAACCCGAAGGTGCTGCATCTCAGTGTGTATGAAATGTCAGCAGCTGCTTTTTCTGCAACAGTAAACAGTTATTAGGACTGAACATGTGTTTCAGTGCTTCGTGGTGTCTGCCCCACACCTCGCTGGTGATCTTGTGGTGCAGGCTCCTCCAGTAGACCGGAGGGATCGCTGAAGCCTGGAGCGCTGCGCTGTGGAGAGCCACGAACACTCGGAACTCCTCGTCCTCCGCGCCGTTCGGAACCGTGGGGTTTGTTGACATTACTGCACTGGAAGTGTATCTCACGTGGAGACGGCGTTAGTACCCGGAAGAAGGAGGAGTTTAACAGCTACACAGCTATGCATTGTGGGAGAGTTTTTCGACTATCTGAACTAAAACATACTTCACAAATTAAAAAACCATTAGGTCACTTTTAGAAAAAAGTAACTGGGTTAAAACGCAAAGTCTCACATGTCAGAACTAAAATAAATATGGTCTTTAAATTAAGTAAATACAACCTGAGCTGGACAACAACATAATACATGTTGGTGTGTCATGTTAGTCATTATTTATTTAACAAAACGCCAAAATGCAGAAGCAGAGTGTGACAAAGTGAGTCCAGCCCCTGGTTGTTTCTGTCATTTAGTTTTTCTGACTGTGTCTGCATGTTGGCTTAGCTACTGTTCAATGATGGTGACTGTGTGAAATGTCATGTATTGATTATCTGAGGCTATATTTGAATAAGACCTGCTGAGGACCAGATAACTTCATTTACATCCCGATATGTAAAACCTTAGGGAGGTGTTATATGTTCTTAGTACCACGACTGTAAATGCTTACTGACACAAAATCACAGTTCGTGCACATTAACGCAAACACACTGACTGTTTGTTTTGCCCTAAGACCGGCTGTTATACATCTGTCAGTAGCTTCTGGTTTTATCAGCAGTGGCAGAAGCTCAGGCTGGTACAGATGCTTTATATTGAATTTGGTTCAGTTTAAGTTTAACCAAACTTTTGGATAGCTAACCCTAACTAACCTAGACAAACACAACTAGTATCTGCTGGCTGTCTGTTATGAGGGGACCTCGGCAGCAGACCTAATCACTAAAGTTGTGGACACATATATGTGACAGATACAGAGGTATCAGAGAACCTGTAGCGTGTCTGAAATGATCTGAGATGTTTGTTTCTCATTTGGCAAATACAGAATTTCTGTGTCACATTAAAACTTCTGCTTTCTTCTCTCTTTGTTGTCAGGTACAGGATAGATGGACAGTTTTGTCCAGCTGCAAACATCCCGCTGCAGCGCGACACCAACACACTTCATGAAATCCTCAGAGAAAAAAGCTATGAAGAAAAAGTGAGGACAGTCATTGGGGAAAGAAACCCTGAAAACAGTAAAGTTTATGTAGGCAACCACGTGGTTTTTAAAACCTAAACACGCAGAATATCGAGTTCTTCAAAAACTACAACAATTGAGCCAAAACCTCCTGCTCCTCTACTCTTATCTCTCCCCATGTAGCACGTGTACAGACATAAATGATAACAATAACATCCTTAAACAGATTGACATGTACACTCACAAATGGACAGACAGTGCCTTTGTGTTTACAAAGGTTTATGACAAATCAAATTCTGAAACTCAGTCTGCAGTTGATGTTAGCACACACACACCCATAGACAGAGGGGAGATGGCAGAGTCACTTCTCGAGCTCGCGTGGTCACTGGGCAGCCTCAGAAACATATTTCGCTGTGATAAAACGAGTAATTCTGAGTTAGTGTCACAGCTGCTGTACAGATGGCAGCTATTCTGAGTTTTGTATTAATAACAATGTTAGCCCTCAACAGGCAGGAAACCCATCCATCCATCCAATCGCTTCCGCTTCTCCTTTTCAGGGTCGCGGGGGGCGCTGGGGCCTATCCCAGCTGTCATAGGGCGAGAGGCGGGGTCCACCCTGGACAGGTCGCCAGTCTGTCGCAGGGCCAACACACAGGGACAGACAACCATTCACACCTAGTGACAATTAACCAATTAACCTATCCCCACAAGCTGCATGTCTTTGGACGGTGGGAGGAAGCCAGAGTACCCGGAGGGAACCCACGCAAACACGGGGAGAACATGCAAACTCCACACAGAAAGACCCCGGGATGTTGGTGGAATTGAACTCAGGACCTTCTTGCTGTGCAGCAACAGTGCTAACCACCGTGCCACCGTGCTGCCAGGCAGGAAACCATAGATGGGAAAGGAGTCAGAGTGAGAGCAGCAGAGTAGAAAGAAGATGGGGAAACAGGAGCAGCAGTGGGAGCAGGCCCAACAGAAAAAACATGGGTGGTGGCAGCAGCAGGGGAACATGTACAGGAGTCAGAGTGAGAGCAGCAGCAGAAACAGTAAAAAAGCTGGAAAACACAAAGGTGGAGGCAGGAGCAGCAAGAAGAGAAGCAAACATAGTAGCAAGAGAAGGAGCAGAGGAGGAAGTACATGGGGAAGCAGGGGGAGGAGCAGCAGTAAAAGCAGAGGTGGAGGCTGCAGGAGGAGCAGTAGCAGTAAAGGTTCGAGGAGTTAAAAACAAACCATCATCCCTGGAGACAAACTTCCTTCACACTTTTAAATGATTTTTTCCCCCAAACAGCATTTAAATTCTACTTAAAACAAAATATAAAAAATGTTCTGCCCTGTTTTTTCTGAATAAAGTCTTCAGCTTCAAACCTGCTCTGTGTCTGTCTCTGTTACATCTGCAGATTAGACTTGATTTACTGATGTCAGTCCCACATCGAGATGTTTATTGAGGTACTTACCGTTATTCTGTTTATAATCCAACAGTGCACAGTTGAATGAAAATACATTGCCAGGCAGGTATGTTGAAGTCCATTTTTTTGACATGGAATAAATAGCCATATAAATATATATATAAGAGCGCATCACAGAGACTTTATTATTCCCAGAGGAAAGATTAGTTGTCATAGCAGCAAATACACAACAAACATCAAGCACACACCAATGAGTTAAACTGCAGGAATGTCTTAAAGACCTGATGACCTCTAATGCTGGGTTTACTGCTGCTTGAGTGGGGGCTGTCCCTCTCCCTGAAACTGAATCACAGACAGCACAGTCAGTAAAAGTACAATACAAAGTTCTTGTTTCAAATTATACTCAATACATTTCAAATGAAATTAATGAATGAATTACCCAGATGTCTGAATCAAAGTTTAATAATAGGAGATGCTTACATGAAATGGGACACCCTGATTGAGATGCTGAGGATGTGACCTCCTCCTAAACTTTCTCCTTCTGTTTTGAAACCAGGTTTTTACCCAAAGATGGAAGAAAATAGAAAACATCTAATCAGTTCACTGGAGACAAGATTGAACACAAATTCAATTTCTTATGTTCAGTAAGCTGAAAAACACTCACCTGTTTGTAGGTCAGTCCTGTCATCTCTTCCAACTATTTAATCTCTCTTGGCTCA